ACATGAGTTAGTTCAGAGGTACAAATGCCTTATGTACAGAGAGGTTGCATCAGGGCTGGCCCTGTCACAAGCCAGAAGGAGGCAGTTGCTTGTGTGAGTGAGCACAGCAAATTCTCTTCCCGCAACATTGGGGCTCTACTGCTCTGGAGATCTTCTGATGGTCTATACGGGTCTCTGGAGCAAACTACTTCCTGAATCACTTTCCCCTGAGAGGGCCTTAGAGCCAGGCCTGTGGCAGGGGTGGGGTGGGGGGGCTGCAGGTGTGTCCCCTCTGGGACCTGAGGATGTGCAGGTGCAATCACAGCAACACAGTCCTCTCCTTCCTCCTCTAGAGGAGTGGTGAAGGTGGTGGTTGCCACCACAGTCCCAGTGCAATGTAGGTGAGGCTCTGTTTTCTTCCCATCTGCGGTAGTGGAAGAGCTTGTGTTAATCTTAGAACTGCAGAGCTGGAAGAGATCCTATGAATTATCGAGTCCAGTCCTTCTCAGGGAGACTCTGAGTTATATAAAATGTTGTAATAAATGCCCTGTTTGTTTTGAAATCCTGGTTATCTAGAATTCCTGAAGGGGGACTTCAGGAGCCTGGTAGGCGGCCACAGGTGGCTGCCATACTGTTGGGGCCCAAGCTGCACGGTCCTGTCTGACACATTTAATCTTCCCCTACTTTCTTTCTGGAGCTGTCACACTGTTGTGAGGTGAGGTGACAGTCTCAGGAAGCAGAGTGCTTGGGGCAACAGCTCACCAGGGCATTCTCTTGCCACCATTTTTCTACCAGCCCCAGAGCACTTCAAGGGAAAGGAAGAGGAAGGAAGATGAGGGTGCCAATGGCTGCAGAAGCAGCTGTCACAGAAACGTGGAATCCTACATGCAAACAGTATGAGTTATTGAAGTTATTAAATAAGTTGTGTTGTAGTTATGTGCCATCAATTTTTTTAACAACTTACATGACCCTAAGAAGGTTCTTGAGGTATGCAAGTTGTTCAAGGACTAGTTTACTGTGTTAACCTCTCCAGAGAGTTTCCGCGGCTGAGGGGGGATTTGAAGCTCAGCCTTCTAAAACCTAGCCCAACGCTCTATCTGCTACACCACACCAACTCTGCCTTCTAAAACAGGTAAGAATAAATAAGGTGTGTGCACATTTTGCTGTCTTCATATTCCTACCAGCCATTCTAGGAAGTAGGTTAGGATGGGAAGTAGCAACAGTCCCAAGGTCTTCAGTGAGCTTCATGGACAAGTGGGGATTCATACCTGGGTCTCTCTGTCCTAGTTAGTAGCTTTAGCCACTATCACCATAGTGGTTCTCTGTATGCACTCAGTGGTCCTCAATCCCTTTAGCATCAGGGAGGTCTGCCTTTCTAAGATAAGAGCATACATGAAGGATATGATCCAGTTTCTGGTTTTGTACATATCCTGGTATAAAGTCGAATGGTATAAAGTACAGTAAGGAACTCAATGCCTGCATTCCTCATCACATATCAATTGTGTGAATTCTCCATCTCCATTCATTGTAGCTCCATTACAATTATGGACTATTACAGTCCTCTATTTAGATTCATTTTTATGATTTTATACTCCTATTTTGTTTTCTTGTAATATTTGCATTTCACATATTCAATTGTATTGGATAAAATGTTCTCATTCTTATGTACTGTCATAACATTTTTATCATTACATATTAATATTAATTAATTCACTTGCCATCAAGTCAATTCTGATTGATGGTGACCTGTTCCAGGGTTTCCTAGGTATACGCTACTCAAAAGTGGTTCATCACACCCTTTTTCTGGGAGTGTTTTGGGATCATGTAGCTTGCCCAAGGCCACACAGACTGGCTCTTCCTCTACAAGGCATGGGGGGTGGGGCGGTACTAAACTCCAGGTACCCAAGTCATTGAGCTATCTGGCCAGCTTTCACATTAATATTGTGGCTGAAATTCAGCAATAAAACTTACATCGTATAAGGCTGATGATGTAATTAATTGCAACATTTTATTTGTTGGAAATTAAACATTTCTGATTCCCTCTCCCCCAGGTCCCAAGGCTCCCTTGGGATCCCCTTCATTGTGGTTAATCCTTTGGGGTTGCAGAATCCGTAGGAAGGGAGCCTTTTATTTCTGAAAATCACCACTGCCCATTACATTATTAATCAATTGAATTTTAGCCACTGCATTATAAATACAGTGATTTTTGTAAAAAAAAATAAAAATTAAGCACCAGTTTATTCCTTTCTCCTAACTTTTTGGATTTCTATTTCTATAACAGCAGAGCATATTTATGTATCAGGGGCCACTTCAGATGTTCTGCATGGAAACTATTTAAGGAAAAAGTGATGGGAATAAATTATCATCTACAATAATTATAAACATACATATTTTTCTGGTTGTACATACATAGTATGATACCTAGGTGTGGTGTAGCGCAGTGGTCCCCAACTTTGGGCCTCCAGATGTTCTTGGACTTCAATTTCCAGAAATCCTGGCCAGCAGAAGTAGTGGTGAAGGCTTCTGGGAGTTGTAGTTCAATAACATCTGGAGGCCCAAGGTTGAGGACCACTGGTGTAGCAGATAGAGCGATGGACGAGGATTCAGCCCAGTTGGCAATGGAAACTCACTGGGGGGGGGGTGGAACTGGTAAAACCACTACTTAAATGCTTCACTTACCTTGAAAGCCCTATTAGAGCTGCTATCAATTGTTTCCAACTTGATGGCACAGAGCACACACACATAATACACATAAACCAGTTAATTGTGACTTGCCTGCATGCGTAAATGCACTGAGGCTGATGCACATTCAATCCTCGAACAATATGTGGGTTTCTCTCTCTTTCCCACTCGCCACCCCAGATGGAAATGCTTTTCTCGTGGAGAATGTGTCATGTTTGAAGCCCTTAGTTTAAAAAACACCATCTGTTGTTTTTTGTAAATTCTTTCCGTTAACACCTTTCTTGGCTGTTACTTCTTAAAGTTGTATCAAAGTGCAACCATATCCATACTGGAGGGCAAAGTGAGGTGAGGGAGGAGAGAGAAGAATGTGAGAACCCTTCCCCCAGGGCTTTCGTGAATGTCTGTAATTTCATAGAGAACTGACAGTGAAGGAAACACAACGTATAACAGTGTGAATGAACAAGCACTAATTATGCGGGCATGAGCAGCCCAGAGCATCCCTTCTTTGGCAGATCTCCAAGCGTCTTTGGTCCCACTAGCACTTTCGCACAGAAGGGCCTCAGAATGCAGTGACAACCACTGATCTTCTGCTGACCACGTGAACCAGAAGGATCACAAGGCCCAATCTTGTTAGGAAGGACACAAGTGGAACAAACCGAAGTTCCATTCGGTCAAGGAGTCCAGACTATTGAGAGACTCTGGGCCAGATACCTTCTCTCAGCCCAACCTTTGGCTTAGAGATGGGCACGAATTAATTCTGCCTGGAGTAACAAAATTTGTCAGTGTGGCAACACAGGTGCCACACATTCCCTCCCCCCCACCTCTCAGAAAGCCGCCCCACTCACAAGCCTCTGCATGCCGCTCAGGTCATCCTCCTTCACTGGCTGTCCAGGCCAGGAAGGAGCTTGAGCTTCCCTTCCCCACCTCTTCCAGCAGCCGACCACTCAGAGGAGGTGGAACGGTGATTCTCCCTGTTCAGCCATTGAGTGGCTGGCTGCCAGAGGAGGCAGGAAAGCCAGAGCTCCTTCTTGGACTGGGCAGCTGGCACAGGAGGACGACCCAGGCAGCGCGCAGATGCTTGTGAGTTGGGCAGCCAGGGGTGGGGTGGAGGGAGGGAATGCACAACACCTGTGGTGCTGCCTTAGTGAATGTCATCACCCCAGGCCAAATTAATTCATGCTTTGAATACAAGATTTATGTGTGGGTACTGTGAGGACAAAGAACAGATCTGGACCCTACACTTTTAATTCCTCAGTAGAACTTTGGGATGAGAAACATTAAGATTCGTCACCATTTTAATTCTTTTCTTTAATGTCCAAGCAAATGGACCCACTGATGCTCCTGATACAACCTAGTATCCCAATGGGCCATTCTGCATGGCAATATCACCACAGCACTAGCAAGAACTGGAACGACACCTTCCATGATCACAAACACACATGAAAAGACAACTTGAGGCTGTAAGGATCATTCAGGTATAAACGTACCAGGAACTGACACATTGGATTGACTACACTAAGTTCTGCTAAGGATTGTATTCATTACAAAGATATGAGAGCTGATTCAGGGGGGTCAAGAAAGCTGACCATGGCAGGATATTCTTGGGCAGCCACAGAAGATCCCCTCTGATTGGTTGCATGATGACTGGATGACAGAAGAGGAAAGGTTTTCTTCCATATTATTTTCTCAGTTTCAGCTCCTTCCCACTCTGCCTTCAGCTTTGCTTAGTTCCAACATGAAAAAATATATAATGTGAGAAAATACAAGTGAACCCCGCAAGTGTTAAAATAAATTCAATCTATTTTGTAAAACACCCTCGGGTCTTCTTTATGCCTAATCAACTAGCTCTTCCTCAGAGGTTACTACAAAAAAAAAATTCAGCAAAACATGGACAGAGAGATCAGAAGGTATTGGGGGGGGGAGGGAGTGGTGATCATGGCAAAAGAACTACCACTTCTTAATTCACATTTTGTGTTCATACTAGCCAAGGTAAAAAACAAGACCAAAGAACAACCTTCCCATTGGTTTCAACATTGGAGGGAAATAAATATACCAGTGGTGTGACTGATGCTTTTCCATTTAGGGGGTTGTCCAAAGAGTAAGGATTTATTTATTTATTAATTTTTGGATCCCCCGATACATCACTAGAATGATTTCCCCCCTGCTTGTTCATACCAGCATCTTGAAAAAAAATAAGCACCTGCCAAAAATCTTTAAAACAGCTTTAAAACTGGTCTTTTTAAAATTGCCAGGAGATCTCATCACAGTTCTCCTGTACACTTCCTCTGTTTTTCTCTGGACATAGGCACAAGACACTTACTGCTGGTGTCCCCAACTCCAACGGTGCTCACATCTTTAACCAAACCATTGATGCTTGAGGAGGCGCCACAGGCTGAGATGGCTCTTGGTGGCCGTTTGCCAGGCACCTTGACGGTGGTACGGAGTAAGTCCATTTCTTTCCCATGAGTACTATGGATATAATCCTGGAAAGGCATGAGGAATAGGCAAGGGAAAACCAAGGCACTTTAGGCATTCCATGACCACGCTTGTTCACTATAGCTTTCTTAGGGTGTAATCAGGTGGGGTTTGAGATTGCATTTTGGAGCACCGACAGCACCATCTCATTCACTCTATTTCCCAATAACCAGACAACATAACGTAGATTGCAAATCTGCTCAACTCTGCTCTGTGCCCTGTCTGAACCTTTTTTGGTCCAGTGACAGGGCTGTTCTCTCTCTTTTTTGGGGGGGTGGGGCAGGCTGAGACAATCAGGACTGGATGGAAGGGTTGCTTGAAAGAGTCCCTTTTAAGATCACCCTCTGGAAGAGATCTTTTCCAGAGCAATTCCGTATGATGTCTCTGTCTGATCTCACACTAAGTATGAAATTATGCTTATTAGCATCTTTATGAGCAAAGATTGTCTAGAATCTGCTCCCCTTTCAGAGCCTAGAAAACCTCATGGATTTTGTTGTGGGGGATGATCACCATTTTATAAGTCCTCATGCTGCATGTAGAGAGAAAGGGATAAGGAGGTAAGCAAGAGAGTTGAGCATTCTAGCAGTGTTTGTTGCTTGTAGAGGTTTCAGGACTACGTGATATAACAAAACTATAGGGAAAGCTATTTCAGCTGTTTGCTAAGTCTTCATAACTGGGGTATAAAAAATTAGAAAAGGTGTGCTTTTGAGGATAACTTTTTGTTCTTTTATTGAGGGAGTTGCTTGCTCTTCCTCACAAGATAGCAAATAAAGGTGTCAATGAATTATTCTTCCTTGATTCATAATTGTGGCTGATTTCTGAATCTCATCTCCGAGGATGGCCATGCTAGCTGAATTATATTGGAAGCTACAGTCCCAAAATAATTTTACATGTTCTGCCTTTCCTATGCATATATGAAAAGAATGGAGGCCACAATGATGCAAGTGATGGGACGTTTCAAGTTTGTTTGGGAAGGAGAGGAAATCTCGCAGCTCTTACAGTGGTACAACGGAATTTAAAAAGCCATAGAAACGCATTAGCTATTACTATGTTCTGCCAGCACAGGCAATGGTGAAGAATGATGTACTTAGAAATGCAACAATATCTGATGGGCTGTGCGGTTTCCATCCCCAGGTTAAAAGGAAACTAATCATCTATGATAGTGACTTTCATTCTCTGGACAATGATGGTGAAATCCTGGCTTTTTGCCTACACCTGTGGCCATGCTGGCTGGAGAAAGTGGGATTTATAGTTGCCAGCACAGGCAAGGGTGAAGAATGATGTACTTAGAAATGCAACAATATCTGATGGGCTGTGCGGTTTCCATCCCCAGGTTAAAAGGAAACTAATCATCTATGATAGTGACTTTCATTCTCTGGACAATGATGGTGAAATCCTGGCTTTTTGCCTACACCTGTGGCCATGCTGGCTGGAGAAAGTGGGATTTATAGTCCAGCACAGCTGAAAGGCAACAGGTAGGAGACACATAACAAAAAGCATGTGCTCCAACAGGAGAAACAGTAAAGACTCTAGAGACCTACACCTGTGGCCATGCTGGCTGGAGAAAGTGGGATTTATAGTTCAGAACAGCTGAAAGGCAAAAAAAAGCATGCACTTCAACAGGAGAAACAGTAAAGACTCTAGAGAAACTCAATGCCATTTGCCACAATCATTTTTGCTACATGCCACAGGAATGGCACAAACTCTCTGGGAGCAAAGAGCACCTCAGGGCTGCCTTCTTCCTGTTGGATATGAAAAGCCAGTTCATCGCAAGAGCCATGCCCTCTCTTCCAAAGCTGCTCTACCTGAAAACCACATGTCTTTCTTCTTTTGTAAAGCATCCAGCCAGGACCAACCAGGAACATCTGTCACATACTGCTTTGTGGACGGTGTACTTACATTAATGCTGGGGTGATAGAAGAGAAGTCCATTACTGGACAGAGTCACGTATTTCTTCTTCCACTCCTTGTTCAGGGAGTTCCCGCTTCGTTTTAGCAAGAAGCTCTAGTGACAGAGGCAAGGCAGGGTTTGTTAGGAGGCTGGTAAGGATTTTATCAGAAAGCACAGCAGCTGATTTGGGGTGTCATAAATGGGCAACAAATTGTTGTTTTTTATTTTTAATGCCAGATGAGAGGTGCTTGTGCAATCATCTAAAATAACTTGGCTGGCCTTGGTTAGTATACATCTTGAGTTGTGGGGGGTGGCAAAATAAATATTTGCTGATCTGCCTCATGCAGCAAAGTGCCCTCATCCAGCCCTGCACAGAAAGTGAACAGAACTGGCAAAAGAGAGACCACACTAAGCTTGCAAGCTCACTTGTTTGATGGGTATGGCACGTCCACTTCCAGTGTTGTCACCTCTGCTATCCAAGCTCCGCTTCTCTGTGTCACTTCCTCTGCGGTTCTAGGAAGAGACAGAGAAACAGCTTCATCCTTCTGCATAAGAAAAAATGCATTCTGCCATTCTGTAATGTTCTCTACCCTAAAAGAATTGAAGAGCAGCAGGAAGAGAATGTTCTTGGGAGCCGTGAGACAAATTGTATGGGGGGGGGGAAGAGATGGGCAAAAAACCCTCTGACTTTAGTACAATGCTAGTGTTTCCTACTCTTGTGGGTTTTGTTGTATACAAAGAAAAAAATAGCTGGAATAGATCTAGCTAAGCTGCCTCACAGTTGTTGGGTTTGGTTTTCTGCCCAATAATAGCAGAGGGCCATTTTAGTCAGGAGATGGGACCATTTATCCGTAGATTTCCTCTTCTCCAACCCTGACGGACTCCCAAAGAACTCACGGCAAAGAGGCTCGTCCGCCGCTTGGTCCCACGATGCAAGGAGCTTGGTGTGCCGATGATGGCTACAGCTTCACCGCGCAGCTCCCGGTGGCTGATGTTCGGCGTGGAAGGCAGAGATGAGGAGTAGTCACTTGTATGCCCACCATTGCTTGCCTGAAAAAAGAGTCCAGGGAGACTTAGGCCAGGCCTTTGTCCAAGGAAAAGACACAGTCCTGACAGGCGATGGATCATTCAGGTTGTTCACTGGCTATACAAACTCATACTGTAAATAGTGAGTAGCCTGTCGCTTGCTTGAATTGTACAGCACAAGAGAAAAGAAAATTAGCATGTATAGAAAACTAGCAGGAGGATCTATCTTCTTGATTTCTAGTTTTCCGAGGCCAGGAAATTATTTGCTTGCTTTTAACATAGAAATGTTCAATCACATGATCTCACATCTCTAGTCTAAATGCTATATCCCATTTTCTTTTTGTGAGATCTGGCCTCAGTTGGCTTTTGATGGGCTTTATGATGTTGGAACTCTAAGAACTCATCATGAGCCACTGATGTGCGACACTGCATTATGTGATCCTTAGCTGCAGTTGCTAGTCTGAAGTAGATGAGAGAGTAAGGACCTCTGTATTTAACAAAATGCCATTGTGCCCAAGAAGGGAAAGGCCTGGTCTCTGTGGGACAGGGGAAATCCTGTTCTGCCCCTCAGTCTCCAGAGAAGCTCCTAGTAATCAGTTAGTGTTACCAACCAGAGCAGGATCAAACATCTGAAACAATTGGGTACATCCCACCTTCTATGTGAAAATAACAGCAATGAAGTACATAGCATTTTCTCTTTTTATCTGGTGCCACCTTATGGCAGAAGCCAGGCACTACAGTATACATGGCTACACCATGTACATGCAGCTGCAGTCTCTTCTTTCAGTTCGGCTCTTCATATAAATGTATATCATCTCATGCAAACAGTTCACCCATACTGCATCTCTTGCTGTTTGTGGTATTCTTTCTATCCGCCAACAGCAAGCAGAAGCAAAAGTAGCAGATGAAGGACCCTGCAGGCAAGCATTCTGCATGGGCCAAGCATACTTTTATTTATGCCAGCATACACTGAGATTGTTTGAGAATCCACCACAAAGAATGGAAGGCATTTTGGTGCAAAATTGGAGAGACCACCCAACTTTGCCCCTCACCTCCAACCTCTGATATGACGGCAACCATCTTCTCTTTGCAAAACACGACAACTTGCCACTACACGCAGCTGTCCTGCATGATCTGAGTTGCTTACTTCAAGGCTATTTTGCAATGCTGCAGAACATGCAGCGGCACTCCTCTCCAGTCTATTCCATTTTTTTATGCAACAAGTGAACACCTGAGGGGTTTGGGCAGCCAGGTTCGCAGTGCTATGGTGCTTCGTGATAGAAAAGAATCTGCTAATGCAACGGGCTGATCCTAATGCTCCCCTCTCCACTTTGGTAGCAGTGTTAGACAGAGAGCTTTAAAACTCTGGGAGGAGAGTGGAATGCATTAACATCCCAAGCCCTTCATGCTATTTACATCCAAGCACAAGGAAGCCCCATACTCTGCAACTGGGCCAGGAAAAGGAGGATTGCGTGCTTGTATGTAAGGCAGATTCCACTTACCGGTGTGGAGACAGCTGAGTGACTGGGCGTGCTGGGCAGAGATTTGCAAGATGCAAGGAGCTGCTGCTGCTTTTTCATGTTCACAATCTTCTGAGCAACTAGAGCAGGGAGGGTGAAAAAAAATATATAAGTTAGGTGGCTGCTCAAATTTTCTCTCCCATCCCCCACAAAGCTATACCTTTAATAAAGCCAGCCAGAGGCATGATTACAGATTCATTCAAGGCCCAAAACAGCTACCCCTTCCTCATAAGTCACCTGTGCCCCTTTGCAATACAGAGTGCAAGTATATCGTGCCATGATTTGGTACATGGAAGAAGTGGGGCAAATACACCCGCCAAACAAATGTCAAAGGATTCTATTAGAGACTCTTTTACAACAGGGGTCTTACTGTTCATCCAAGTGCAGGACGCAGAAATACTCTGGACACACTGAACCTCTTTTACAGCCACTGAAATGTAAACAGGACCAGCCTATAATCCTTTCCAACAGGACCAGCACTTGTAATATCCCTGCAAGTGTCACTGCAGAAGATGCTGGCAAGTAAACAAGAGGTTCTTCCAGAAATTAGTACCTACACAGACACACGCACCTGTAGCACAAGCTTGCCCATATTACTTCCTCATATACAGAAGAAAACACTGAAGGCCTTACTCTTGTTCACCTGTCTCTCTGATCACTAACACTGAGTTCAGTTCTCACAGGCCTGCTGGCAGGCACACTCTTCAGATAAAGGGACATAGCCTTGGTCACAGGCATACTCCCACTTATTATTTCTTCAACATTTCTCTTCTGAATTAAATTATACCCTTCAGAGAGGGAGTTTCCCAAATCCCCGACTGTGAGAGGGCCCACCCTCAGTACTTCCGTCTTGTCCGGGTTCAGCCTAAGCCCGTTCTCCTGCATCCATTCCAGTATAGTCCCCAGGCAGCGCTGAAGGCACAGGATGGCTTCTCCTGCATACTCCCACTTATTATTTCTTCAACATTTCTCTTCTGAATTAAATTATACCCTTCCCATGTTATGGACAGCCACATCAGAATAAAGCAAAACATTGAAAACCGGCAATATAAAATAACACCAAGAATGCTGCAGCGATTCACAAAGGAAATTTGAACAGAAAAGGGGGCACAGAAGAAGAAGGATGTCAAAGACAACAGATCCATTCATGCACAAACGGTCCTAATACAAACATCTCTCTTGCAAGATCTATTATGCTTGCGATACAGCGGGCGTAAAGGAAAGGCGAGGGTGTAGATTTCCACTGAGCAGAAATTGAGCTGAGACTCCTACTAGCTGCTGCTAGCACAAGCCATGGTTCCGGTACGAGGGGAACTGTAGTTCAGAATATGTACAGACCCACACAATGTCTGCATCCCTACTGTACACACATACAGACACTATGAGGAGATGCAACCATCATCCATTATGTTCCGCACCACCGTACAGGAACAGATATACTTTCCTGCCCTAGCACATGTGCCATCTACATCCTAGGGAGAGCTGTGTTTATTTATCACAAGGAAAGATGACCTCCATGGGCTCAACAAAACCCAGCACTCCCCTACCCATAAAAATACACCCCAGGAAAGTATTCACCTTCACTGAAAACCCGATCCACATTGAGTCCATAAGTGGCACATGTCTCATAGTAAAGACAGCGGCGCATTTCTGTGCACAGAGCCCGGGCTCGGGAATCCTCAATCACACGGGGGTTGCTGGCACTGATTTTATCTGGAGGGATAAAGAGGAGGGAAATTAGACCTCCCTCCATTTCTGAATGAGAGAGAAGTCCACTGAAATCAAAAGTCCATTTTTTAAAGTAAACTGTATAATACTACTGTGAAAGTGTTACTATTTGTTCTGTCTGTATTATCTCCATGCTGCATTCAGTTCTTTCATACAAAATCAGATCTCTATATTGTTCCATTCTATATCTTCTTTCAACAGATAGAGCTGGGGGGATCCTGGAAACCGAAACTTGCCTGAAATTTTTATGGCTTTCTGAAATGCCTTTCTTTTAAAATATCAGGCAAAACCATTTTTTTTATATATATAAATTTTTGTCTTCTTTATTTTTTTTATTTTTTTATTTTTTGCTTTTGCTTTTGCTAGCTTTGCTAGCACAGACTAGCACAGCTACCTCTTCTAAAACTACTTTCTTTTAAAAAGCACCCTCAGGTTGATTCCTACTTACTATGGACTTTCTTAGGGTTTCTTAGATATTCTTCTCCAGGCCTTCATCTCAGGACCTGAAGCTCAGCTACACAGGTGACATAGTAATCACTGGCTGCCATCATTGTGGCTTCTGTGCAATTTCCTTGGCAGAATATCCAGCAAAGACTTATCTGACAATATCATCCCCACTCCAGTGTCTGGCACTGCTAAAAGCCCAGGGAAATCCTGAAGAGCAAGGAAATTCCCAGATCAAAATGAGTCTTCTAGCCCTGCCTCTACAGAACAACCCGGGGAGTACGTATGCATATATCCTGTAACTGTATTGGGCATTTGGAGGAATGGATATTAAGCCTTCTTAATTGGAAGACAAACTTGACACTATGGGTAATGCCTGAGCAAAAGCTGAGAAACCGAACAAGGTTTAATCATTTTCAGTAATTTTTTAAAAAAGGAAATCTACACAGCATGTCTACCTTCACATAATCAGCAGAAACAACAGCATACAATATGAAACAGCTGCACATTTGAAATAGTTGCAAATTTGTGAGATGATTTCCACTGTCTGGGTATACATTCAAAGGCAGCTGTATTTTCAAATGCACTTGTTTATTTAGTGCAAAGTTATTTACTTACTTTTTTATTTTGGGGGTCTCCTGAGCAGGTGGCTACACCTCCCCCTCATATGAACAGTAAACCATGGAAAGAGTGAGCAGAAGATGTAAACAGAGCACTCAAAAGTCTTCTGTCCAGGTGACCCATGCAAATCAGCCAAAATATATGCTTCTTTTCTGAAAGTCATTTTACCATTACCCAGCAGTGCAGCTAAAAGACTTCCAATCCTTTCGTCTACCTATATCAAATTCTAGATTTATACTCCACATTAAACTCAAGCAACTCCTTGGATGCAGATTAAATCCCAACAACACACCCAGAATAGGTATGAACTGCAACCATGTAAAAAAAAAATGCATTCCTTTTGTTACCCAAAATATCAGTACTAAAAACCGAAAAAAGTTGACAACAGACCTACTGAAGACTAAAGGCCGTGCAAGTGCCCTTCTCTGGAGACCTCACTGACCTTCTTCTCTTCTACTCAATCGGCTCCCGATTGGCCCCAAGGCCTCAGAGTAACTATCCCCTGGAGCCAGCCATGTGTCCTTCAAGTAAGCTCTCTCTAGGTTATATCTCTTCTCTCACTCACCCTGAGTGCCCACCAGTGCGAGTGCCATGTCTGAAACTGCACGGTAGTTGGTGAGGAGCCCATAATACTGAGTCAGCTCTTGGAAACTGGCTTCGTTCTCCAGACTGAAGACAAAGATGACGGCATCTGCCCAGTTGGCAAACTGCAAGGGAGAAAATAAAAATAAAAGTGAGATGGACATCAGCAATGGACAGTTGGTAGTGTGGTTACCTCTTTCAGGATTAATTCGCAGAATCAGGAGCATAAGAGAATGATACCATTCTGAGCTTTTAGAAAAGATTGTTGTGATTTCCAAGACCCAGCATGGATTTCTCAAGAACAAGTCACGCTAGACGAATCTTATCTCTCTTTTTTCTGATAGAATCACAAGCTTGGTAGATAAGGGGAATGCTGTGGATATAATGTCTCTTGATTTAGTATTCTTATGGCTAAGCTGGCAAACAGTGAGCTAGGCAATGTGGTTGTTCAATATATTTGTAGATAGTTCACTAATGTCATTCTGGAAAGGAGTGGCATGTGGTATGCCACAGTGTTCTGCCCTGGGCCCTGTACTGTTTCTTATGTTTATAAATGGATTGGATGAGGGAATGGAGGGAATGCTCATTAAAGCTGCAGGTGACCCCAAACTAGGAGGGGTAGCTAATGGTCAATGGACAGAATCAGGATTCACGACAACCAGAACAGATTGGAAAACAGGGCCAAAAGAAACAAAGTGAGTTTCAACAAAGAAAAATGTATTTCAGCATTTAGGCAGAGAAAACCAGATGGACAAGTACAAGGCATGACAGTAGTTCATACAAAAAGTATCCATGTGTCTCAGTGGACTACAAGTTAAATGTGAGTCAGTACTGTGATGCTGTAGCAAAACAAGCAAATCCAACACTCGGTTGCATCAACAAAAGTAATTGTGTCCAGATCAAGGGAAGAAATAGTACCACTGTATTCCACTTTCATCAGACATCACTTGAAATCATATATGCAGTTTTGGGCACCACCGTTTAAGGAGGATATCAGGAGGTTAGAATGTGTCCATAGGAGTAGCACCAAGATGGCAGAAGGTCTAGGATTTAAGCCCTGTGAGCAAGAGCTGAAGGAGCTGAGGCTTAGCTGGAGAGGAGAAGACTAAGAGGAATAGGATAGCCCTCTTCAAACATTTTAAGGGCTTTCACATGGATGGTGGAGCTTGTTTCTCTTGCTCTGGAGCATAGGACCTGTGGTAATGGATTCAAATTACAAGAGATTTTCGTCTTGACATTAGGAAGAATTTCTTGACATTTAAAGGTGTTCAAAGATGGAACAGACTGCCTCAGAATGTAGGTGATTATTCTTCACTGTATGTTTTCAAACAGAGGTTTGATGTCCTTCTGGAGTGGTTTTAGCTATGGATCTCTTTGGCAGTGCATTGGACTCAGTGAACTGTGGGATCCCTCCCAGTACATACTACAGTTCTAAGAGTCAAAGGTGAGAACAGAAAATGACATAAAGATTGCAATGGGTCATACAAGGAACGGTCACTTGCAGGGTGTGATCTTAAAATGGACCCTTTAAAGCGACCCTTCCATCTTGACCCAATCAGACCAGGAAAAACAGAAAGAGCAGCCCTGCCACTGGGCCAAGGTTGTTTTGATTTCACAATCTGCCACATGTCATCTGGTCAGCAGCAAATAGAGTGAAGCAGATCATGCAGACGGCATTTCAAAATGTAATCTAAATAATCACACCCTAAGTGTTCCCTAACCTATGAACTGAATAAACAAACAGCACTTCCACAAACATCAACATGCTCAGTTCAAACTCTTTCTAGACTAAATCTCCAGTCTGCACTGTGAAGGAGCAAACACACCACACCACCACTGTATCAGGGCATCTACAACCACCTGCGTTGCAGGTCAGCTACAAATAGGAATCTACAACAGGGAAAGAATTGCGTGAGCCAGGAAGTTGTGCGTATAAAGTCTTCCACTTGGACATAGTAGAGAAGGTACAAGCACATTCAGTCCACCAGATGTGGCCTGGAGCGCTGGTCTATTAATTTTTTGAATAGGGCCACAGAGACTCATATGTCAATTATGTGTTACTGTTGCTGTTTTTAATGTTTCCATTTTTATTTTTTGTCATATGTGTCATAACCTGCCCAGAGTAGTGCCTTGACACTAATGGGAGTGGGATAAAAACTGAATAAACAATCAAACAAAACATTATGAGCAGCACTGAAATCTAGTCTTTCTTTTCTTCTTTGTGTGCCTCCTAGTTAGGTGTCCTTGATACCATACTTCCATCAATGGATATTGTTATTATCTGCCACCAAGTGAGAACCTACTTATATCAACAAATTTGCTTTAATGAGATTTTCTTGATTATTATTTCTAATTTACATTTGCCAGTTAACAGGCATAACTGACCTAAATAGATTTTTTCAAGGGATGTAGTGGTATTTAAGAAGTGTTTTTACCAGTTCCACTCCCCCAGTGAGTTTTTGAACCCAAGCCTCCTGAGTCTAGTCCAGCACGCTATCCACTACACCATGACAGGTATCTGTCCATCCCTGGAAAATGAAGCATTTTAAAGAGGTGCATATTACAAAGTGATTCAACATACGGCAGTTTGGTAATGTTGGCCTTCACAGCAATGCAGCAAATAATAAAAAAGAAAATTTATCGCAACCTACACATTCTTTTAACAAACAACCTTGATTCTTGAAGTGAGTGAAAATATTCAGGCGCATGATCATTAGAACTTGCAGTTGCTTCTTCTCTGTCCTAGCATCACAGATGTGTTACACCAGTTAATTCGCAGATGTAAATTAAAAATAATAACAATTGAGAAAATCTCATTAAAGCAGATTCATCATATTTTGTGTACAAGACTATGTATTTTCTGTATAAAGATAGGGACAGACATGAGCAAACTATTTCGTAGAAAGAGAGTGAAGTGTAGCAAGGGAATAATGTAGCAGAGGGGGTACATCAGTGAATATTAGGCTAGCTATGACAGTCAACATTTTTGGACCATGGCTGTGTATCTGTTAATACTAGATGCGAGAAGAAACATACATGAAGAGGCAGCTGCTTTGTTAACATGCTTCTGCCATTTTTCCCAGGAATCTTTGGCAGCACTGAGAGACAGAGAGTGGACAAGGCAGACCATTGTCTGGACTCGACATGGTAACATGCATGCTTTTACAAAAGAGGTTGGGGACATGAGCTATGTTGCTTTGTGGCTCATTTGCTGGGGCTGAAAGCTAGCAGTAAAAAGGGCCACTTGCGCTCTCTTCTGTGGGTACCAGTTTGTTCTACACACCCAGACAGTGGAAGAGAAGGAAATAGCACTACCTTGGCATCCGGAGGCCCTGCTTCCTCTCGAATCAGCAAGAGGTGGCTCTGCCCATCCACCACTACTTCCTTCTTGAATTGACCCCCTGAAAAATAGAAAAGGACAAAGTAAGGGTGTGAAGGAGCTGAGCAGTAGAATTACCTCAGCCCAGGGTCAAACCAGAAGATAAATTCAGCATGCATGTAGAACAAACAACCCTCCCCTCAAGAAGTGAAATAAATCTGTTTGATTTTTGTATGTGCTTATCCTTAATTCTGTATCTTACATTTAGCATGTTTTATTTTGTAACTGGTTACCAGTAGGTAAAGAAAAGTTTGATTTGCAAATCTGATTGCTGAGATGTGTATCTCAGGCAAATGTGTGTTCATCGCAGAGAATATGCAGTCTCCTTAATGCCCAGTTCAACCCTTAGTATACAGGCAGCTTAACTTTAAAATAGTTGAGGGGGGAACTAGCAGCTCAGAGGACAATCTTAGACAACAGTGTAGCATGTTCACACCACTGTAACTGAGTGGCATAGTGCCTACTGTTTTTGCAAATTCAGTCCCTGGCATCTACAGTGAAAAGGGTTTCATCCCAGCCGATGCTAGGAAAGGTCCTGAGATCCAAGTTAGTCACTACCAATCAGAGTATATAATACCAAGCTAGATAACTGAATGGTCTGATCTGATCTCAGGTAGGTTCCTCTGTTGCACATCTGATCAAAAAGCAAAGGCTCCTTCTGTTCTTCTCCTTTGTCACGTCCTGCATACCTGAGCTTTGAAAGGGAAGCAAGATCCCTGTGTGGATGTGCAAGGGGTTAAGAACAGGGGAAAAAAACCTCTGGCAGGGAAGGAGGGCACCTCACCTTCTGTAGGTTCCAAACCCAAATAGGAACCAGTCAAGTAGCGATGGAGAAGGGCTGACTTCCCACTCTTGATAGTCCCAAGGATGCCCTGTGGAGATGAAAGAACAGAAGCCACTGTTGAGTGGAACACAACCCTGTTCTGCTCTTGGTTCTCAAGAAGCTTTAGAAACCTGCTGTCCTCCCAGCTTTTGTTCCATGCCACCGGGTTCCCTCCCACTCATGGCCACCCTTTCCATGAGTGTCTTCCAAAAGGTCCAATCATTAACAGCCCTGCTCAGCTTTTGCAGACTCAAAGCCATAGTGTCAATCCATTTCGTATCGGGACTTCCTCTTTTCCTTCCCTGGTCACCAAGCTTGGAAGGAGGAGGGAAAAGGCCCCTCATGACTCCTAAGGCAAGCAAGGACAGACTCTTTTGGATCTGTCCACCTCACTCATGGGTCCCCACCAGACAGTTCGGAGACTGTGGGCGCAGGGCAGCCTGATACTAAGCAGTGGTGCCTGGTGGGCAGAGGATAACAATGGAGAGGAAGCCTTGGTAGGAGAGCACAGGTGCAACTGGCGGGGAGGTGGGAAGCATATGAGGCTAGTTGGGAGGAGGCAGAGTTAGAGGATGAGGAGTCATCATCAATGGAGGTGCTGGAGGAACAGCTGCCCCACCTTCTGCCCTTTGGATAACATGGAGGAGCCCTTTGTCCTCCGGGGCCTTGGGAGTGGACCATCTACACTCAAGTCAGGTGCCTCCTGAGACATATGACCCACCCCGTGACTACCAGTCCAGCAAGATGAAAAGGGGTTGCACCCCTCTAACTCCATATCCCAGTGCAGAAGTGACCCTGGAAGTGCTGCCGCCAGACTGCTGCAGCTGGTCAGGGAGTCCAAAGGACAGCTGCTACCCTATGACCACACTGACCCTCATTGAGAAAAGCTTGTCCACTGCCCTGCTCTTTTGGCTAGAGAGTATGAGGCTGATTGGATTCTCTGCCCTGCCACCTGTGCAGCCTCAGGAAAGTGGCACAGTGCTAGAGCACTACCAGGAGGAGAGGTTCATAAACCATTTGTAAGCATTTTGCATCCCCAAACCCTGAGAGGGCTGCCGTAAGTCAGTACTGACTTGTGAGGAACTAATTATTATTCTGGCTGCATTGCACTGAGTGACTTGCAAAGTTTGAGGTATGCTGGTTTTTTAAAGACAGTTGCCTGGGGATGCTGATGTAGATATGGGATGATCTATAGAAACACTACATGTCTTGTGTTATTCATTTATTGTCTTACTTTACCGGTTGAAATTTATATGCCACGTATTTTTTCCATTGACTTGAAGGCAGTTATGCATTTCCTCCTCTTTGTTTTTATCCACACAAAATTCCAGTCAAGTAAGCTAGACTGAGAATAAGGAACCAATCTGTAGTTCATCAGTCAGTTTCATCAGACGGGCTGGGGTAGAAACCAGTGTGTGGGCTTCCACTTACCAGTCAAAAACATATGAAGTAGTAAGAAAAAAGGTGTCCCCAGCCTAACAGCATAACCACACATCTACATGTGCTCTCCCATTTATCTAGTGCTATCCATATAAATTGTGCTTTAAAAAAATATTAGAGGACAACTCTTCGCCTCCAGGGAGCCTGCAGCGTTAGGAACAGATCTGTAGCATCCAGCTTACAAATAGTTAACAAAGGTTACGAGACACCTACCAGTCGTAGCTCGGGGATAGAGCGGCCGAGAGTCCATTCCTGGCTGTTTGCAACAGCCTCTGAGGGAAGAAAGTGTGAAAGACAGATTAATGGTAACCAGGACATGTTCAACACATGCCTCACAGAATTATATCACTATTTATTTCCACTGCCTTGTAAAGCAGGCCAGTAGGGTTATGTCTAAGTCACAGATGGCTGAAGCTAGGAAATAGTGAACTGTCTGTAGTGCCAGGCTCATATGGTACATTTACAGCTGGGGCCGTTTCAGCTGGGAGTCTGTTGGTTCACATCCCACGCTTTTTAGCCACTAGACGTCTACTAGATTAGACTCAAGGCAAGCTCCTCTTCTTCACCCTGACAGACCCATCCTTTTGAGTTTTCTGAGGAGCCAGGAAGTTGGGGAGCAAAAAACCCTATTGTGGTCCCAGCTGGGGGAATGCATGGGAATACAGAGAAGAAAAGCAAAGAGGATCCTGCCCCCTGTCACGTACCCTCCGCTGCTCTGTGGGGACAACTCCCACCGCCCTTCAGCTCTGCCATGCACTACACTTGATTCTTTGTGCTCTTTTGGGGGTGGCAGGAAGAACAGGGCAGGCAGCTGCGAATGTACAGCGCTATGCTTCCAGGGTCCCCGAGACAAGTGGCACAGCGATGGGATGCCTCAGGCAGGGCATAAAGAGCCAGTTCAAAGCCAAACATGAGCAGCCTGGGATCCAGGAAGTTAGGCTAGAAGCAGGTGTTCTTGCTGGTATCCTGAGAAAGTCGCTGAGGGACTGAGCTGGAATATTTCACTCTCTTCAGCAATGGCACCTAACATTTCAGTTAACAGCTCAAGCTTCAAGGCATCCCAGAGGCTGAGGGTGGTTTGCTGCAGGCTGTCAATCTTGAACATTATGTGCAGCAGAGAACTGGGGGCTGGGAAATAAACAGCAGTAGTTGTGCGGATGGACAGAAAACATACTGAGCATAGGAAGGGAAAGAGACAACTACAGACAACTGCCTTAATCTAGACCACCCTTAGTCCTGCATTCTGTTTTCCTTAAATATTCTAAATATTAATAAAAAGAGTATCTCTAAGCATGTGGCTATTATCTTTCTTTGCTGTGATCTGCCTCTGCACACTTGTGGTTACTGCACCGCACCAGTATGCCTCCTAGACAATGTGGACAAATGGAAAAGAGGCTTACTTACAAGTGTCGCTGCGTCAAACCTGCCCCCCCCCCAGTATTTCTATGTCTGTTTCTCTATACAGTATATGGTTCAAATTCAATGTGCCTATGTAGTCTTCCAATAAGCACATATACACACATAGTGTATAATGTTCATGGCCACCCATGTATCCTTGAATTTGTGCACATCCATATAGTGTGTATTCACACAAATAACTGCACATGCGTTTATGTCTCTACAAACTGGACTGTCATTTGCAAGTGTGTGTGTATACTATGCTCCTTCCATACTTACCCAGAACATATCCCACCCTATAACATGAGATCTCAGAGCAAATTTAACAAACTGACATTAAAAAATCTAGTAGTTATAAACATAACATTATTTCTTTTTAAAAAATCATTTTTAAAATGGAATTTAAAATTTTATCAATTAAAAACTGTTAAAACCATACATAGTACAAAAAACTTCACAACCTACTGTAGTCAAAACCCTCTGGTGAACCAGCCATGTTCTAATGTGGCACCAAAATGAAATCAATGTTAGCCCCAGAGGAATGTCCAAGGTGGGAGAACATTCTAGTTAAGACATTAGAGCTAAAAAAAAGCCCTCTCCTGCAGTTCCACATATACTGTAATAATACATTCAAAATATGTTGCATTGCAACAGAATGGCCTTTCAACAATTTATTCCAGTTGGGAAAATCCTTTTCTTTTCAGCTACTGAGAGGACTAAATTCAAAGAAAACAAGAAAGACTTAGGAGGGAAGGCAGAAGACATCATAATTCCTGCTAATCAAAGCTTCCAGTACTTCAACCGTGCCAGGAAAGCTTGCACTACATCACTGCATAAGACTCCTCTGGTGGTGACCACAGCCATCTGTGGAGGTCTCCCTGATGGTGGAGGGCTGCTGCTCTGCTCCCAAAACAACTGCATGTACCCCTGAGGTATTCTGCACTTTTTGGGTTTCCTGAGCAAGCTTTCTTGTGATGAGAATCAATTCTGGAGTTGCTACAGGGATAGGGATGTAAGAATGGCCTGAAAAGATTATTATTTATTAATGCTAAAATAAATCAGCATTTCAAATTTAAGCAGTCACAGGGAGGATGTGAAATTTTATATTAAAAAAAGATTTTTGCATTTAAATGTGGAAATTTTCCTCAAAAGGTAAAATGTTAACATTAAATACCAGTGCATGCCTGTAGTATTACAACTATTGAATTACTGGTGTGTACAGTATTAATGCCATTGTATGTCAGCTATTTAATATTCAGGGGGGAAATGTCAACCATCAATTACTGTCAAAAGTCACAGAAATGGTGTTGAAGTCAGACTTCATACACTTGGTAAATATTCATCAAACATTGAAGCATCCAAAGAATATCTGAAGCATTCTTGACATGTGAATTTGCCAAGGAGAACACGCAGCTCCATTTCACTTGTAATGCACCTGTACCACCACTGTTTACCAGTATTGTTTAATCACCTGTTAAAAGCCTGTGCTATGTTGATGAAAAAGGTAATTACCCATCTACACCTCATCAGAAATGTAAGGGAAACAGATGTACTTAATGATGATGTATCAGCATCACTTGGCAGGGTGTTAACAAATGGCTATCTTATTGAGTGACAGTCAAACTCACAGGGAGGGAAATGTTAAGATTATGGAAAGTGTTGTGCTGGCCAGCAGATTCCAGGAGTTGCCATCCAAACTAAGGCAACTTTTCATACTCTGCTTAGGCAAGTTGGATCAGCATCAAACTGCCATGAAGTCACAGAATTTGGGTAAACCTCTCCGTTGACAGCAGCCATTACATAATGCAACTCTGCAGAATACGTATGCAGTGATTAAATTCCTTGTGGGGCCTGGAAGAAACAGATTAAATGTCCTTTTACAGCCATGAACTGACTGGGTGGCTCTAAGCAATTCTGAAGTAATTTCCAACCCCCAGCCCCAGCCCTTTACTTCTCTTCCTAGGAGCTAATACTCCCTGTGAGATATTGCTAGTATTAAAATAGTTTAGATTCCTAGTATCTCAAGTTTATTATTTCTCTGGGGCTTTTAAAGATTATTTTGTTGATCATATTGTGAACTATTGCAAGGGCCTCATTTTTGCTCAGGGAAGGACTTTTAATAAAGCAAACATTCAAAACAGCAGTTGAGGATTATGTCTTTTCCAAGTTACTGTGATCACCAAAAACGGCTTCAGTTACATCCCTCCCCCACTCAAAACCCCGAGATACCACATAAAAATGTTTCCACGTGGCTTTGTGACAGGAGTAAGTGCTTGTCAGTGATACTTGAAAAAGCCTTTAACCATCCATTTCAATTTCTCCTGAGACGGTGGACAGGGAACTCCCTCCAGTTTGAACCCAGGTCTTGGCTTTAAGGCTCTCAAAGAGAATAGCCCTCCCCTCACACACCTGAGTGTCAGATGGAAATATAGACAGCCGTGTACAAAAAGCACAGCTAATGCCTTTTCTCACTCTCTCTCTCTCTGTGTTACTATGGAACAGTTGCTTAGCAACAGCAGCCTGCACATCACCAAGGTAACAAGAGAGAAAGAGGGGCAAGGAAAGCGGCCCATGCTGGCTTTTAGCTACAGATGCCCAAAGGGCTGCTCTGTTGCCCACTTTGAACTACCCCCATCAACCCCCTCCATGGGACGACTCCAACTGCCACCTGGGTAGCCTATCCATTTCTCCCTCCCTCATTATCACTGTTGCGCCCGTCCCCCTTCCCCTTCTGGTGCCCCCCCGTGCCTCTAAGATCTGTACAGGTCACAAAAATTCAACAGGTGCAACTGCGCCCAGAATAAACATGTAACAGAGAAATCTGTGCCTATGGTACTTCTGCCTGATACAGCCATTAGAAGCACAAAATACTGTACCTGCCAACAAATTAAGCAAATTCTATAGCACACAGCAATTAGCTGAATTTTCTCCTCTTTCTGCCTTACGCAACTGTGTCAATTTTCCATCCGTCAACATAAAAACATAATTCCCACCCTTCAAGGCAACTCCCTCTTCTTATGGCATGGCTATCTGTTGCTTCTCTCTCTCTCTCTGTATGTGGATGCCCCAAATCTGCCAGAGAGCTACCAAATTTATAATATTAATAATCATGTCCCATCAAGTCCATTCTGACTCATGGCAACCGTTTTCAGGATTTCCTAGGTAGAGAATACTCAACAGGGGCTGAGCATTCCCTTCTTGTAGGGGAGCCCTGGGACTGTCCAGCTTGCCCAAGGCCAGACAGAGGCTGGTTCTTTTCCCTGGAGATACCCTAGGGAATAGAAGTCCCAACCTTTGGGCTCTGCAGCCAGACACCAAAAACACTGAGCTATCCATCCATTTTACAGAGATGGCATTTCCCATTCTGTGACTTAGATGTCTGGGTGAATGCAACAGTAAAAACAGATACTGTACTGTATTTGATCTGCTAGTAACACACATGCTGCCATGCACATGTTTTCCATCAATACAACTAGCCACACTTCAGCTGAAGGATAGATGTGGAAGATGAGCAAAAAAAATACAATTAAGAGAAACACTTAACCGTAACATTGGAAAGGGTCAAAGAGAGTAGCTAGTCTGACCCCTTGCCACTTCAGGAAAGCCGCTACTATAGCAACCCCGAAATAGATGCCATCCAAATGTTTTGCCTGCTAGCAAACTCTTCCCATTAGGTACCTGTTAATTTTTCTCAATGGACAGCATGTGGATATTATGTATGTATGTATGTATGTATGTATGTATGTATGTATGTATGTATGTATGTATGTATGTATGTATGTATGTATGTATGTATGTATGTATGTTAATTTTTCTCAATGGACAGCATGTGGATATTATGTATGTATGTATGTATGTATGTTAATATATATGC